ACTGCTTCAGTTCGATCTCGGCGGATCACGTTATAGCCAGAAATAGCGACAATATTATTGTCAATGTGGTCTTTGAGCCAAGTCTCTGTTATGCATACAAGGTCGAAATCTGCATAATGGACGACTTCACGGACTTCATCTATTTTCGGCGCCAGTGACATGACGTTGGAGAGAAAGAACGACGGCATGAATAGCTTTGATGACTTTGCAGGTTCGGCTTTAGATGGTGTAGGTGGAATAGCGAGAAGGTTGGCGTTATTACAGTATTTGTGACTGGACTTCAAACGGTAGGGGCCATGGTTGGCTGACCTTGGTGAAATAACTGCAATATGGCGGTGACGATAAACTTCTCGCTCCTTCACTTGTCGTCCAGCTCTGGTACCGCGATAAGATGGCCATTTCCCACCATGAAATCGAAGAAAACCAAAAGAGGGGCGAACCTGGACCATTTTGCGGCAGCAGATATAACATTTAAGGCAATAAAATTCAAAAATTACGGAAGCAGATGAGACCTCGTGCTGCCTTGAAAGGCGCATACATTCAACCAACTCTGACCAGGAGAGTGCTTTCCAGGTATCAGAATTCTCTGTTTTAAAGAAGCTATCCGCCTTAAATCCAACTAAGGCAACCGGTCCGGACGGAATCCCCGGTTGGCTTCTTAAAGAGAATGCAGATTTACTAGCACTGCCTGTGACTGATATCCTTAACTGTTCGTTTAAGGAAGCACGGTTGCCTCAGTCTTGGAAGGACGCTAACATCACTCCAGTACCAAAGCAGAATCCAATACACGATGTAAACAAACATCTACGTCCAATATCCCTAACTCCCGTGCTTTCTAAGGTTGCTGAAGATTTCGTCGTGGAGAGTTTCCTCAAGCCTGTTGTGTTGGCGAAAGTGGATGTACGGCAGTTTGGGACTGTGCCAGGTTCCAGTACGACACAAGCACTAATAAGCATGGTCCACTCATGGCTTAGTGCTACGGATGGGAACGGTGCAACTGTCAGAACCATCCTCTTTGACTTCCGCAAGGCGTTTGACCTTATTGACCATCAGATCCTAGTTCAGAAGCTCATTTCATACGATCTTCCAAGCGGAATAATTGACTGGATAGTGGACTTTCTGTCCTGTCGCCGACAGCGTGTTAAACTTAGTCAGGACTGTTACTCGGAGTGGGGGGCCATCCCATCAGGGGTCCCACAGGGCACAAAACTTGGCCCCTGGTTATTTACTATTATGATAAACGACCTCATCATCCCGGGTACAGACATGTGGAAATATGTCGATGACTCCACTATTTCTGAAACAGTCATGAAGTCTGAGGTCAGCAAAGTCCAACAAGCGGTTGACGAACTCGCGACGCAAGCTTCTGCTGACAAGTTCCAATTAAATGAAACCAAGTGCAAGGAACTGCGCATAACATTCAGTCACTCTAGAAAGAACTTTGATCCAATTAAGGTTAATGATCAGGACTTAGAGTGTGTAGAGCAAGCAAAGATCTTAGGTTTGCAGATATCTTGCGATCTTACGTGGAATAATCACGTATCCGAAGTTGTAAAGAAAGTAAACAAGCGCCTGTATTTTTTGCGTCAGCTTAAGCGTGCACAAGTCAAGTCGGAGGAACTTTTGCTCTTCTATTTGACTTGTATTAGGCCTGTCACTGAATATGCATGCCCTGTTTATCATCATAGCCTCCCGCAATACCTTTCAGTAGATCTTGAGAGATGTCAAAGGCGAGCTTTACGTATTATCTATCCAGATTGTTCGTACAATGAGGCGCTTCTTTTGACTGGTCTAGTTCCCTTACACAACCGCCGCGAGTTCTTATGTGATAAGCTTTTTAATTCCATCCTGTCTAATCCCTCGCACAAGCTCTATAGCTTACTACCTCCCAAGAATGAAAGAATGAGTGCGAAGTCAATTTAAGGAGTCAGCACTCTTTTACTACACGGCGCCTCCACACCATTCGTACTCGAAATAGTTTTATCCATCACTATGTCCATAAAGCAATGATGTAATATTGTTTTTCTCTTAATTATATATTTTTGTCTTTTTAATTAGTTCTTCTTAGCCATGTATTTTTTGTAGTATATATTTTATTGTAAATCAAACGTAATTCAGCCTGTGGCTGCAAGGTTCTTGATAATAAACTATCTATCTACAAGATTTCAATTATTGTATGTCATTTGCTAAGCTATGCAGGCCTTGCTAGGATAAAATTATAATTCCTTTCTTTTAACAATCCTTAGTACTACAATAAGTTTTTACTATAATGGTGATGGTAAGTTTAAGATATTTGATTCTCATGGTAGAGATTCATATGGATGTCCCATCCTCAAGGAACTTGTGTACTGTTAGAAGTTAACACCTTAAATGAGCTGATAAACTATTTTCAAGGTCTTTATCAAGATCCAATGTACATGTTAATGAAAAACAATGTGATATGACATATATTTCTGATCAACAGTTGTCAGCTGTCCCCCTTAAAGCAAATCATGCAGATGCAGAAATTGTAACCATTCCTTGTTAAGCTGTTGTGCCACATCTTTTTATAGCATTTGTTTTTCCATTATCAAATATTGTGGGTATTGGAATTCACAGACTCTAGGTAGAATCGCTGACCATGCAAACAAGTTTTACAAAGAAAAACTCAATGGCGATACCCATCCACTGACTATCAACAATTTCCCAAGGACACTTCAAATATATGATGCAGATATTGATAATGCCTTTAATTTGGAGAAATAAGGAATACTACGCTGTACATCTCTTGGTAGCAAACTTTTGCTTCAGAAGTTAATCACAGATAATACTGAGGATAATACTGGGTTTTTAATGTGGATTTCAAATTATTGCTTCAGCTGCATTTTTCAGCACAATAATATAAAAAAAAGCAAAAAGTGTTGAGTACTATATTATAAGGTTTAGTCCTTATGGCACACTTGATATATTTGAAAAAATGAATGACGAAGATTTTCTTATTCAGTCATTGGTGGATATTGTAAAAAAACAATTCCAGAGTAAAGATATAGAATATTGCATCAAATTTATATGTTGTTCAACCAATTTGTAAAATGCTGGAAGACAAAGGGTGATGTCAAGACTTAAGTCTCATAGGAAAGAACTACATGCAAAAAGGAAAAAAGAAAGCTATGCACAAATGGAACCTGCCATGAAAAAAAAAGTTTTGTCTGATAAAGCAATATATTGGTAGAAGTCACTGGATCTTGCAGAAGAAAAAACGCTTTTATCTAACAGAGCTCAATGGTATAAATCACTGGGTCCCGAAGGAAAAGAAAAGCTTTTGTCCAATCAGCAGAATGGTATAAATCACTTGGTTCTGCAGAAAAACAAACTCTTTTGTCTAGCAGAGCAATTTGGTATAAATCACTGGATACTGCACAAAAACAAAAGAGAGCAGAATGGTTTAACTCGCTCAATTCTGCACAAAAACAAAAAAAGAGCAGATTGGTATAAGTCATTGAATCCTGAGGAAAAAGAAAAACTTTTGTCTGGCAGAGCAAAATGGTATAAAACACTGGATCCTGCAGACAAAGATAAGATTATATCACAAGTTCAAGCTAATAACGAAGCCCCTAGAAACTCAGTTCAACGTGATTTGGTATACCAGTCCGACACCCGTAGTGTCACTACACTTGATCCCAAGGATCCATTACCATCCAGGTATCCCAGTTACCTTGCTCACGGGGTCTAGTCTAATGCATGAAAAAGGGGAACTGAACATGTGATGGAAGCCCATTTGAGCCCATATATAGTACTTAACACAGTTTAATAGTGACAGTATGAATATCAATGACATGTTGAAAATACAAAAGCAACTTTTAAGATTAACGTTACTCACATTTTGACTGAGGATTAGGTCTGCTGGGATAGGGTTAGAGTGAAATGCCTATATGATATAACATAAGCAACATTTGAGGCTAATTTGGGACATTTTTTAACACGAATACCGATTATTATTGTAATTTTTACTCACAAATGAAAAACACACTAAACACCTCCGTGTTTCTAGTATCATTTCTCCAGATGCTTGAGAGAACTGGGAGAGACCTGGAAATAAGTTATTGTTAACGGTTGTAAAACTGAAGGCAAATCCTCGACCCTGGCAAGCGATTTTCTCCACATGTTACCGATCAGCCCATGAACATTTGAAAGGAAAACCAAGATAAAGTCAAAGAAAAACTCTTTGAAATATTGGGCTCAAAGATTGAGAGGCTACCAAGTGATCTGGAGTATTTTAAGATAGTTTATCCAAGGAAATATATAGAAATTATGCTTGAGAAGCTTATGGTTACAAACCAACCCCTTTTTCTTGTTGGATACCTCGATTTATGATAATTATTCCAATTAGGGCCATAACGGCCTTGCAGGCAGCTTTAAACACAGAATCAGGAGGTCAAGAACGCACGCAAAGGCGCTGCTTAAGTTCCTTGGGATTCCCGGTCGACTGACTCTTTGAAAAGCCTCCATTTCCTGACCCCTTTTAAAGATCAACTAGAATAAAGTTTTGTGTAAAAGCCGGCGGAATCTTGGATGTCACGATTGGTAAATTTTTGTTTACTATGTAACGAACACCTGTCATCGACAAACATTTTAAGTAAAAACCGTGGTTTTTCAATGAGAAAAGGAATAAACTTTGCCACACGGCAAAAACATCAGAGGATGACGGACAGATATCTCCAGAACAATCAATTCCCCTACCAACTAATTACGTCTAATTTCTAAATTTTACTTTGTCAACGCACTTCACTTCCATATATATATATATTTGTACATGCATTCATAAGCGCCTTGTGCCGGACAAGGCGTTGCATGTCTTTGCGGCAGCACTTGCAAATTTCCATATATGTTTCTCTTTTCAAATTGAAAAAATTATATCTATAATTCCTGCCTGCTTAGGTTTTCATGATGCTTTATACCACTGGTTTTACGCATCACGGAGTGAAACTACAAATTTTAAAAGAAGTTCTCCCTCTAAACAAGATATTTTGTACAATTTGCAATTTCTTCCCCGCCTTGATGACTGTGATTTTTCCTCTAGTGTTGTTTTCACATAGTAAATAAATAATTTTTTTATGTTCTCAGGTTTGTGTCTCCGCAGTGTTTCTTTCGTTATGTGTGATTAAATATTGCATTTGTTACGCATGATTGTACGTGACTGTTAGGATGAATGATGTAGGACATGTACTATTAGTAAATGTGAATATTTAGACATCCGACCCACACAAACACTCCTTTCTCGGGTTTTCTAAATATCCACAGAGACAATTTAATTCACTGCAAAATATGCGAAATATATAACTTGCGTTGAAAGTCTTATGTAATTGGCTACTTTAGACAGGAACATATTTATAATCGCTGGCCGCGTCCCAACTAACTTTTTCTTCATCATCCTCATTTGGTGTTGCGCTATGAATACCGACTAATTTTGCTACTCGCTTGTTCCTTAAATATGCCAGATAGTCATTTTCAGTTCTTGTCATTCTTTCACATTTTTGTTTTAGATCAGAAGACAAATCCGACCTTAAAGTGAAACCTTTCGCATACTTGTTGCCATACATTAACTGCTTACTTGGCTTGTCTTCAAAACATTTACTTTTAAGTTCCTGTTTCATTCGACGAAAGTTCGTAAGATCGTAGTAAAAGTCTTTTCCTTCCCTTTCGATTCTTTGCCAAAGAGTTTGGTTAAAGTGTTCGTACAGCAACACGTCGGCTTTGTTCCACCGTTTGATGTTCTCTTTCGTACCATCTGATATTTCAGTAGCTTTGTCCTTGCCAAGCCGTTCGTTTGTTTTTACAAAAAGTACATCGTCCAATTCCCAGCATAGTAATCTCTTCATAAGAACCACAGATTCGTCAAAATAGTCTGCGATTAAAACCAAATCAAACTCTTCTTCCAAGAATTCAACGTACTCTTTAATGGCTTTGGCATCCTGATAAAACTTGAAATCCAAACCCAGATCAAACATTTGCGGATTTCTGGCTAAAACAGAACTTCCGCTTTTTCTGAGCATATTAAATCCTATTCCATTCTTTAGAAAGGCTTTCAATGATTCAGATGGATCTGTCCCAAAACCGAACACAGTTCCGATTTGCATGTAGTTAAAAATCGACTCAAACTGTTCGACCGGGTTTCTGACGATTGTCACATATTTGCTGGCGTCTTTTGGAAACAAATAGTTGATGGCTTTCTTATTGAATCTTGTGTGACTGCAAAGAAAATTTGGTCGCGTTCCATCGAAAGCGAGAGCTTGTCCAATGCGGAATCGCGTCGGCCATCCAATCAGAGTGTCCGAGCCAAGAACAAAGGAAAGATCTCGAGAATCGCCATAACGAAAGAAAATGTTCGAAATTGTGCTTGAACCTGATTTGTGTGTTTTGAGAAAAAGAACGTAGTGTTCCGAGGAACAATTGGTGGCTGCTTCTGTCCTTGATTGTTCTGAAAAAAAAAGAAAAAAAATTGTCTTGTTAGAAGTTTTGGTAGGTGTAAGTATCACTAATTACTGTATTATCCAACTGCACTACGTAGAATGCAAATAACGCGCGAATCAAGTAGAGATATTTTCCCACTTTTTATGAAATGCGCATGAAATAGGGCAGTTGGACAATAGATCATTTTGACTCGCCCTGCGGGCGATACGACACAACTCGTAAAAATACCCAGCGATACTACACACCAAACTTCTAATAAATATATGTATTTATCTTGGTATTGTGTTGTATCTTACGAGCTTGGAATTTAGTTCAACTAGTAACTTACATAAACGACCCGTCGTCATTTAGCGCCGGGGGGGGGGGAGGGGCAGGGGGTAGGAGGAAGGGGGGAAAGGGGGAAAAGGAGGGGAGGAAGGGGAGGAAGGGAAGAGGGGGGAGGAGTTTGGTTGTGTCAGGATAAATTTTATCTGATCCCCCTACCTTTCTTGGCAGCAGTCGATTTACTATACTACCCCACTTTAACCTCTGATGGTAACGACTGACCCGCCTCTATTCCCCCTTCCCCCAGGCAATAGATAAAGACTTGTTTCTCAGTTTAAGTGACTAAGAGTGCTGCTGGTTCCTCTGGAAGGGACACTAGTCCATTTAAGGTGAGAGAAGAAGTATGGTCCAGCCAGATTGGGTAATTGTATCTCCGCCAATAAAAAGTATACATGTAGTGATGGTACTGGCCGCATTTTGAGACTCCAAAGAGTTACCCGACGTTTGGATAAATGGCCTCAAATGTGCCAAACATTTGTTCACAGATGCCATCATTTTAATTCTTGCTTAGAATTCTTGCCAATCAACTGTGAAGTAACCAAGTCTCAAACCCCTTTTTACCCAATCTGGGAGATAAGTTCAACCTTTTAACTCCTGCAATTTTAACGCCTTGAAGTAAAGTAAAGTAAAGTAAAAGTTTATTCACATAGGGTAGCCCATTCAGCTCTAAGGCTGGTATCCATAGGGGCCCTGTTTCTTAAAAATAATTTACATCAAAATTCTCAATTATATATATACATGACCAGAATTTTAAAACTACATTAACAGCCTAAGACTAAAAAGCCAAAACACAATTAAGACCTAAAATAGTAGATAAAATATCAAAGTTAAGATAAAAAGAAATGTCTTGCTCGGCGGCAGAACGTTTTAATGTTTTCACTCTTCACAATATTTAGAGGGAGTTTATTAAAAGTTTCTGCGTCAGTAAGAAAAAAGGTCCTTTTCCCAAAATTTTGTTTTACTTTTGGTAGGGATAGCCTCATACTTTGCCTTGTGGAATAATGGTGAACATTCGAAAATCTGGTAAAATATGATGAAAAGTAACTAGGAACTAATGAGTGAAGACAGAGAAAAACGAGTTTAGCCTTGTGGTAATAGCGTCTACTGGAAAGAGTCGGCCATTGCAGCTGCTCTATTGCTTCAGATGAGCGAGAGCAACGTGTAATAATCCGTGCAGATCTATTTTGTAAGCGCTGTAGTCGATCTATATCTTGCTGTAGAAGGTTACTCCAGGCAATGTCACAGTAATCAAATAAGGGAAGAATTAAAGCATTATGAACAAGTGTTGCTGCCTCTTTTGTGACGAAACTTCTAATACGGCCCAGAATACTAACTCTTGACGCCACCTTTTTACACACATAGTCCGCGTGAGCCTTCCAAGTCATAAAACTGTCGAACACCACGTCTAGGTATTTAAAAGTAGTTTCGCAAGATATAGACTTTCCAAGAAGATTAAGATTTAAAATACAATCGCGCTCTTTATGCCTTCGAGATGTAAATAGTACACACTTAGTTTTTGAAACATTGAGAACAAGATTGTTGTCTTCTAGCCATTCAGATAGACACTGAAGATCTTGGTTAATGTAAAAAGTTAAATTGTCTACTGTTGGGCCAGCAAGATATAAAACTGTGTCGTCACCGTACATATTTACAGAAAAGTGTTTGACACAACGTGGTAAATCATTAATGTAGACAATGAATAACAGGGGTCCGAGGATGGACCCTTGCGACACTCCAGAAGTGTTGGTCCCGATATTTTCTCTACGTTATGAATGAAAGGACAAGTTTTGCATCGTGAGCGAGCGCATCTAAAAGTTCCAGATTAGTCATTGGTTTGAAATGAACTCCTGACGAAAAAGTTGCCTATGTTTTTGTCACGTTTGAATGAAATGAGTGGGGGTTGCGAAAAGATAGTGCCAGTCTCTGAATCGTTTTGGAGTCATTTAAAATTTTTAAGAATGATAGATTTAACTGCGTGGTTGTGAGGGTGAAATGTAAGAGTAAATGGAATGCGGTCAGTGTTTTCCTTCTCGGCCGTTTGTAGTGCTGCTTGTCGATCGATTAGTTGGGCACGGTGGTAGCCCGCTTGAACGACAGAAACAGGATAGCCACGTTTATCGAAAAACTGGCATATTGCCTCTGATTTTTCGGAAAAATCAGAGTCGTCACTACATAAACGACAAAGTCTGAGAAACTGTGAAAAAGGTATGGAGTTCTTGACGTGTGATGGATGTGAAGATGAATACAACAAGTAACTATGTGAATCTGTAGGTTTGTAGTAAACACTAGTACATAAGCCGTTGCCTTCAATTGAAATTTTGATGTCTAGAAAAGCCAAAGAAGTGTCGGAAATTTCCCAGGTATATTTAAGAGCCGTATGAAAGGAATTGACGACGGTTATAAATTGAGTGAGCTCCTCTTTGGTAGAGGAGGTAGCGCCGATGCAATCGTCAATGTAGCGGCCGTAGAGTTCAGGTTTTGGGCCTTGGTATTGGCTAAAAAATTGATGTTCGATAAAACCTACAAAAAGATTGGCGTAGCTGAGTCCCATTTTAGTACCCATGGCCACACCATTAGTTTGTTTGTAGTAGTTACCACCGAATGAAAAGCAATTGACTGTGAGTACTAATTCGGCCAGACGGAGTAGTGTTTCAGAGCTAGGTTCCTTAACAGTGCGTTGATCGATAAAAATGTTTGAGGGCCCGGAGACCTTCGTCATTGGGAATGACAGTGTAAAGAGATGTTATATCCATGGTGAAATAAGTCTGTTTTGATCGAGGAAACTAAAGTCACGAAAATTTCAAGTGCGTGTTGGCTGTCCTTAATGTAAGACGGCAAAGTTTTGACGATAGGTGCTATAATTTTGTCTAAATAGCTGGAAATAAGTTCGGTGGGACAACTGCAGGCAGAAACGATGGGTCGACCTGGGTTGTTAGGTTTGTGGATTTTAGGTAAAAAGTAAATACATGAAGTTCTAGGAGTGGTAATGATGAGATTTTTAGCAGTGGCCGGCAATTCTTGTTTAGCTATAAGATCGTTCATCGTATTTTTGACAATGTTTTGGTTAAAGTGAGATCTTTGTCGACTTTAGCATAAAAGGAGGTGTCAGAAAGTTGCCGCAAAGCTTCTTTTTGGTAGAGGTCAAAAAACAACAACTGCACCACCTTTGTCGGCCGCCTTAATGAAAATGTCTTTGCGTTTTTTTAGACTTTTTAGTGCCGACCACTCTTCCGAAGAAAGATTGGAAAATTTGGTGTAACGATTGAATTTAAGTTTGTTGATATCGTGGCGACACTTTTTGAGGAAAAAATCTAAAGATGAGAACTGGCCCTCTGGGGGAGTCCATTTAGACTTTCAAATCTGGAGTGTTTGGAAAGTATCTTTGTTCGAGGTGTTAGAATCATCCTCTTTGTCATGAAAAAAGGCTTTCAACTGAACGCGGCGAAGGAATTTTTCAACGTCTTGCTTAACTGAAAATTCGTCGGTTTTTTGTGATATGGGAACAAAATTTAAGCCCTTGCTAAGAACTGATTTTTCTGAATCGGAAAGTAGTAAATTTTCTGGAATGGTAACTACAGTTTTGAGGTTTTCAGGCGATGAGTCGTTAGTAACTTGAGGGCCGATAAGTTGGTCTAGTTTTTTGGCCTTAATTTGGTGCAAATGTTTAAAAAGTTTAGAATTGGCATCCTGAATTTTGGCACGAATGGATTGTGCAAAAAAAACAGCTGGACAGATTTTTGAAAGTTCAGAGCGGCAATGTAGAATTTGTTCGCTGGGTTTGTTACGTTTTTGCCACATAGCTTTGATTGTGATTCTCATAATATTACGTGAAAAAGAATTTTGGGCGCACTGAATATGGTGACGATATTGATTCGAATGAAAAAAAGAAGATGTGTGGAAATTGGAGCGAAAACCCTTAGGAATAACTTTGGAATGAAGGCAACGGCCGATGAAATGGATGTGACTACAAAACCTAGTTTTGGCGAAAATGAGAACGGCTAAACGGAATGCTAGATCTTTACTAATAGGGGGGAAAGGAAAAAGGTAACTTACGATTTCCTGGCGTATCTCCTTGGTAAGTCTCTTCAAGCTTGGCATGGTCCGTTACTGTGAGATCTGTGGATAGAAAAATTTCAAGGCAAGAGTTAGTGGTCGCAGCAAATAAGTGACAAATGAATAAAGGGGTAAGTTTTCTAAAGAAACTGTGGTGCTGCGTCGGTGGGAGAGTATAACAGGTAATTTAGTGTTAACAACTGGATTGAAAACGTAAATTAGCCACCGTAAAGGGTAAAAAAGCTGTCGTTTCGAGCGTTAGCCCTTCGTCAGAGCGGTTAGAGGAATTGTGGGTTGCGTGGGGGTTTACGTGCAGAAAGTGGAGCTACGCCATTGGTGGGAATGTGGTGACGAGAAAACAGGAATATCGGGTTGATCATTTTCAAACTCTTGAATAACCTTGTAATCGAGGTTCGAGGAAAGGTAAATGAGAACACCACCATTTCGGCGGGTTTGATCTCTTCGTACAAGTAAGTAGCCGGTAAGCTGAATTTCACTGTCGCTGATTGATGAATCCAGCCAAGTTTCGTTCAGGGACAGAACGTGCGGTCGGTGGGTCTCGCAAAAACCCCGCATCTCATCGATCTTGTCGACAAGAGTTCGCACATTCAAATGACAAATTCTTAAGCCTTTGACCGTACTCAGCTTGAAATTTCTATTCTGAGAAATTGATTCAGGACCAGGGTTTCGCTCAACATTACCACTCGACAAGAGTAGCGATAAGCCAATAGCTAATAGGGCAAAGCAGAGGTGGTGTGCTTTGAGAGTTTGACTTTATGGTTGCCCGCTATGTTGACTTCTCGAGCTGCAAACTTTGAGTATTCTAGTTACCTGTTTGCTGGATATTGTATGAATAGTACAGGGAGAACTTACTTGTAAATCACTTCTGAGAGCTAAGGGTTAAACAGTTAGGAGCTACTCTGGTGGGCATTTTGTCGACTAAAAGAATGACTAACTTTGTGTCCCTGACCATGTTAGTAACAAATAGCAGCAGCCAAAGGCCATTAAAGCACATTAACATGTCACTTGTCCTCATAATATCCACACATTATCCAGCAAGCAGGTAATAACAATACTCAAACTTATCAGTTAGAAGTTTTTATCTTGATCTAAAACCAAATTCTTAGAACTAATTAAAATGTGCACCAGCTAGAGGGGAGAATTAGCAATCTGAAATAAAATGTTAAAGGGTTAATCGTAAAGTGTACGTGAAACTCCCAAATTCTTTATTCAGCCTGCACAATAACATTCAATTTTCAAAGCTTACCAAAAACTTTGAACAACATCGCCATAATAAAAAAATATTATAGACATTTGGGTTTATCAATAAAATTCAAGTAATAATTTGTGTATGGCTCTATGAGTCCTAGCACTCTTACCTTGTACTTGTATTTTTTCAAGCGTTGGCAGTGAAGGAAATAATCGCAACTGAATCGCTGTTGCGATTAGTAACACAACTGAGAGGAAGATGATAAACATCTGTTTACAAAACAAAAAGAAAAACATACCATCTCATATCAACCACTGTGTATCTCTTGGATTCCATGATCATAAAAGTTTTTATTGTGATGCAAAATATCTCATGTTCACAGATGTGCCAAAATCATCCAACATTCATCAGCTGTTCCTTGGTACACAACTTACACATGTGTAACAAAAATTACATTGTTACCTACACTTAAAGAACTTTGTTAGTTATGAAAATAAGTTACTTCCCTAATCTACATTACTAGTTGCCTTTGTTAGAAAACCTTGGAACAGTCAAGCTCAGTTGCCTCAAACACTGTCAGAGACTTTCAGTTCACATAATTTTTAATAGAAATTTCATGCCTTAGACAAACAAATTAAACACCTAGTTAATCGTTCTTTTTTCATGATTGTTGTTGCTGTTTTATTTTTCAGTTTTTTTGCTCTGCTTTCGATACAACGAATACATCGGACAGACCAAACGTCAGTTTGGTACACGTTTACAAGAGCATAAAAAGCGGTTTTCTTTTGCAAAAAGGAAACTTCAGCTTTATCGGAGCACACATGCCTAACTAACCGTATAATTGGGTAGGATAATTCTAAAATTATCACCACCAATCGGCGTTATCACCATCGCCTTTGTTTTCTGTCAGAAAAAAGGCAGCTAATTAGTGATCATATAAAAGGACCTCTTGTTGCAGCGTTTAGATCACCCCTGATGAAGGCACTAGACAGGAGTGTCCAAACGTTGGGTCTATGAACTGTAACTTCTTCGGTTACATTCATTTAATCTGTAAACCAGAGTAGCATCAAGCCATGTCTGATTGTCCACCTGGTTGGCGTGTGAACTTTAATATAAAGGAGCCTCTACTTGGCACTCATCTTTGAATGTACTTTTCATCGGTTGATCGCTCGTGTGTAAAGTTATTTCTTTTGTGGACTGTTTTGCCTAATATAACATTTCTAAAGATAAGTTTTGTTGTGGTTCAGTGAGAAAACGAGAACAGCGTGAGTGTTGTAAATGAAAAGAAATTCGTTGGCGCCGTGAAGTTAAAAGAAGGGACGACAGTTGACATCTTGACTGGTACAAACAAGTGTCGAGTGGCCATTTATAAAGCTACGATTTTGAACGTTTGTGATGAGTAAAAATTGCGATATTCGTTAATAAAAAAATAAAATAAATCTGAGAATCGAATCGGTCACTTGCATGCTGCAGTTTCTTAAGGTTGTGCTTTACAAAGAAATAAATTTATCAGTAAGGTTTCAAGATTACTTTAGTCACATTTTGGGAACATTCAAGATTCATAATACAAACAGTGATTAAACAAACCTTATTACATAAAGAAGCCCTCCTAGCTAAAAACAAAATACTGTATTCAGACCTTTTTTAGTAAAATCTATGGGAGAGATGTACTAACTCCAATATAAAAGTAATTCAATATAGCAGAGATTTCCCAATCCCAGTGCAATTTGTTAAATTGAGATTCCAATGAATGTCCTTTTCCTTATAGCTATCTAAGGCCTTGGCTGAGCTTTTAATATATATTTATATATATGTATATGTATATTTTTTCAAATTCAGATGTCATGGAATCCAGATATAAAATAGTCAAGCTTCTTGTAAACAACCTCATTCAAGGCCAACAGGGAAAGCTGTGAGCCCAGGAAAAAAAGACGATCAGCAGCTAAGTCTGCAGCTTAAGATAACTTCATTCTAATTTATTGTAACAGTTACAACAAGATTTTAATCAAAATATCAATTCTATTTAACTGTAATTAACCCCTTCACTCCCAAGAGTGCTAGGTCAAAATTTGAGAAGAAATCTTTGAATTTCAATGTGTAGAATCAACAAAAACAGAGTAAAAAATGAAAGGGCTGCTTGATCACTTACATTTGAATGTTTACACACAAGAGTTTTATCCAAAAATTAATTCATATGATGTTTTTAAGAAAAGAAAAATAAATCAAATTCCATCATAACATTAATAATACAATCAAAATATTTTACACCTAAACCTTAATTAGGCTTGTAGATAAATTTCATTGAATACTTGAATTTTAGCTGGGATTTTTTTAATTTTTAGTATTTATTTTATATAAGTAGCCTCAAATTTTTGCTTAAAATTCCCAGTTTTCAGTTTTCCATAGGTAGATGGCTTGGTTCTCTGCCCAGCAATAAGCATAGCTTTACCTGTTCTTAAAGTTTTTGGCTTTAAATAATAGCTCCTGAGCTTTTGGGGTTAGGTGATCCAAGATATCAGTATTTAAAGATCGCCATTATTGATACCAACGGCTGTTGGGTTTGCTTGATTTATTTTCCCGTCGATGTGACATGACATCTTCTCGAGCGATTCAGGCTAATCGAAGAGAATTTCTGTGTGCAGTATGAATGTCGTTAAGTGTAAACATTTGCACCCATAGCATTAAAAAGTCAGATACAGAGTTTAGCCATTTAAAGAGCAGGTCTCTGCTTAGGCAGATCAATCTCTTGGACTCCCAATAAATTAACTTTGAAGTTCTAAATGAATTGTACCAAATCCTGTCAGCGTAAGACACAGACTGCAAACCGCAGACCGAGCGTAAAATTCAGACGAAGACCGCAGAACAGGGGTAAAATGTAGACTCCGTTCTTTGATTGAAATTTATGGATATTCCTAGTTTCTCTTAAAGATTAAACTTAAAACGAACTTGAGAATTTTACTTGCTCTTAATTTGTTTCAAAGTAAGGAAGACTACGCCATTTTTCCAATAAATAAAAACACGTCACAGCAAAACAAAATTTCTTAAGCATCCCTTGTCAGCCAACAAGAAGCCCAGCGTAGGTTAAGTTGACCATGATACCCAACGATTTATCTCAGGTTAATACTGAAGTAAAACACCGAGCGGAATAAGAAACGCAAACGCCTGGGAATATTCTTCGGAGGTTTTTAATTACATTCTTATCTCGCATCCACAAATTTGCATTAAATTTAAAGAATTTGCACGCCTAACTTCGCAGCGCAAAACAAAGGTACGACAAACAGGTTTTTATTGTCCAAGTAATCGAAATTGCCAATATGCGATGAAAGTCTATCACTGATACTTTGAAGGCCGAATGAATTTTCCATGAGCTGCATTTATGTCCAAAGCTATCTATAACGTTGCTCAGCAGAACTGTTTGTTCCTTAACAAGGAAAATGTATTCAGCTGGCTGTTAACTGCATATTTAAACACTCACGTTTCTAATCGTGATGCAAATTTTCAACGGAAATGTGGATGAAAATTATCGCGGTTTCGTCTTCCTAGTGAATCATTCATGTATGTCTATACTCCACTGGTGTAAGGTAGCAAGGCTGAAAAAACTGCATCAGCTCTTTAGGCGTATAGATCAAAGCTACTGGCGGTGAAAGGTTACCTAATAAAAGTCCAGTTATAAGAATCCTCGACAAGGTTTCTGCTTCTTCTCATATGAATTCCCTGCATAATATTTTCAATTAAACATTCTTTCCAGGATAACTATAATACTTCATTGCCTGATATAAAGAATTCTCGTTCTTGAGGAAAGAATTCCCGACCATGTGGCAAGAGTTTCTGAAATAGAGATTCGTCTCAAGATATTCAGATGGAAAGCATTCTTACCAGAATTCTCTACTAGTTTCGTCGCGAGAAGCTTGATTCTTCTTGAAGAATCGCGATCAAATTATTATTGTAGTAAGAATTTTGGATCTTAGTAAACGAAAAAAAACATTTTCGATCTCGTGACAAGTTCACAAAACCTATGTTAGCGATGGGTTGAATCTTTGATGAGTTGGATAGATGAAGGTTCTAACTAACACATTGCAAACGCCTGCAAACGACTGCAAACGGGCGCGGTCCTAGAGGAACCTTAACGCCATGCAGCCATAAATTTAATTTTCACAGAAAGGTTCTTTCAAAATTCCTGAAACCATCACTTGTTTGATGAGAATTTGAAGCGATTCCGTAATTCATGTAGCTTTCGCACTTTGATCCAAATTTGGGCCTTCTTTCCACGGATACTTTCGAACTAAAGATGTCTAAGTACTAATGCACAAGCTCAGAAAGTTCGTCCACCAACAAACCAAAATAAGTTTAGATTCGAATGACATTCGTTACCAGCCGGTTATTGCTCACATTATGTTTAAATGTGGTCTTTTGTGGGAACTTTAGAAATATACGCATGGCTGACAGCATTCACTCTGAATTATCGATCACATTATCCACCGACTAATGGTGGGCACAGGCGGAGAACTCTTCTTTAATAGTATCAAATCAATAGCTTGCCATTTTTAAGCTCACAACGATTACCCTAAATCGATTTGCACGATGTTTCTTGGGAAATTCAGCAGCTATTTTTAACGTGACACGAGCCACAATTAACTCAATTTTCGAAGTGTTAAGAACATCACAATTTTCGCGTACGCACACGTTCAGATATATCAACTAGAAAACCGATATCATTTCTAGGATCGCTTAAAATTTTCAACCGATTATCTGATACTTTCAAGAGATTTGAAAGAACCTTCTCTGGGCATCAAGTCCAATCAAGAACGTACATGGCTACCTTGTATTGTCTATTTTGAGCTAAACTTTGCAAAAAACTTACCATCCACATCCGCTTTCTCGGAGTCATTCTGCCAGAAGTTTCAGGGCTTTCAGAAAGCCCTAAGAAAAGGTTCTTTCAACTGGTATAAATCTGAAGCACTGATAATTCCCAGAAAGAAAATACCCGAGCGCCTTCCACGCTCAACGTACACGTTCGTGACTCGACAAACTTCGGTGAAAAGCAATGGAAAAGTCGTAAAAAATGGAGTGGGTAGAATTACAGTATTTACATTACTTCGCTCTGTGATTGGTCAACATAAAACGCCTTCCCTTTTTTTTTTCTACCGGGATACCTGTGGTAGCCCAGTCCTTTGTTTTTTTGTCGCCTTTTTTCCCTCCGCCACAAAATGGAAAAAATTGCGCAATAGTACCCAGTGGTCAAAAGGTGGAAAAAAAGACAATGAAGCAAAATAATGTAGCTTACACCTCTAGTATTCAGAGAATTCAGGAAACTTTACTTTAAACAGTATTATTTCCTTAAGTCTATTTAAAATCAATAAAACTCAAGATAAATCATTTCGGAAATAATCTGGAATGTTTTGGCCTTTAATCTCGTGCTCTCTGACTGTTTACAGGCGTACATTATTTTCCAGCTATTGAAAAATCCTTATTTCATCAAGGCCTATACATTATGAATGTTTTCTTTTTACACACAGGCCATATGCATAATCTTATTCCAGACACGTGCTAATCAGCTAATTTGTAGCAGTGTCTTCTCACGCCTATCGTTATTTAGAACTAAAAGAAATGCAAATACGAATACTTTAAATTAAGAAACGTACCTCTACCACGGCTTTTACATAAGTTTGCATCTTCATCTACTACAGAACCACAGGCGGAGCAAAACATCGTGAGCTCGAAAAATGGCGGTTTTTCGAGCGAGCAGTGTGTTACTAATGATTTTAGATATATGAAATTCATATATTTTCACTGCGGTAAAGAAATAAACATAAGAGATCCTTGCAGCTAAGAACACTACTGAACTAGTACTACTGAACTAGTGCTACTTTTTTCCCCGTGCGGGCCTGAAAAATTTTTTTCAGGTCTAATTTCAACAACTAGTTCAGTGGTGTTCTTAGCTGAGAGGATCTCTTATATTCAGTGTGTTACTGTTACGCGACATACCCTTTCGGATGCAAATAAGAACCGCTGACCAACCGCTGACCAACTCGTTTTCTTTGTTTTGCCGTGAGTTAATTTTGTTTTGCCGTGACTTAATTTTGTTTTGCTGTGAGTTAATTTTGTTTTGCCGTGAGTAAAGTTTGTAGTGCCGGGACTTTTTGTTTTGGCCCACAATAAATATATATTAAAAGCTCAGCCAAGGCCTTAGATAGCTATAAGGAAAAGGGCATCCATTGGAATCTCAATTTAACAAATTGCACTGGGATTGGGAATTCTCTGCTATATTGAATGACTTTTATATTGGAGTTAGTACATGTCTCCCAAAGATTTTACTAAAAAGGGGCTGAATACAGTATTTTGTTTTTAGCTAGGAGGGCTTCTCTATGTAATAAGGTTTGTTTAATCACTGTTTGTATTATGAATCTTGAATGTTCCTAAACGTGACTAAAGTAATCTTGAAACCTTACTGATAAATTTATTTCATTGTAAAGTACAAGCTTAAGAAACTGCAGCATGCAAGTGACCGATTCGATTCTCAGATTTATTCTAGTTTCAGTTGCGCCGAGCATTAGGTAATCTTAATTCAAGCCTGCTAAGGTTCCCGCACAGCCCCATTGGGAAAGCAAATTTGTTTTACAATAGTATGGCAATGTCTTGTTTCTGTCAAAATTTTCTCTATCCAGGAACTGAATGCATAATGTAGTATGGGACTGTGTGGAAATTTTACCTTCAAGCCGTTATATCTATTCTTTGAAAAATTTTGATTACGTAACGAATATCGCAATTTTTACTCATCGCAAACGTTCAAAATCGTAGCTTTATAAATGGCCACTCGACACTTGTTTGTACCAGTCAAGATGTCAACTGTCGTCCCTTCTTTTAACTTCACGGCGCCAACAAATTTCTTTTCATCTACAACACTCACGCTGTTCTCGTTTTCTCACTGAACCACAACAAAACCTATCTTTAGAAATGTTATATTAGGCAAAACAGTCCACAAAAGAAATAAATTTACACACGAGCGATCAACCGATGAAAAGTACATTCAAAGATGAGTGCCAAGTAGAGGCTCCTTTATATTAAAGTTCACACGCCAACCAGGTGGACAATCAGACATGGCTTGATGCTACTCTGGTTTACAGATTAAATGAATGTAACCGAAGAAGTTACAGTTCATAGACCCAATGTTTCGACACACCTGTCTAGTGCCTTCATCAGGGGTGATCTAAACGCTGCAACAAGAGGTCCTTTTATATGATCACTAGTTAGCTGCCTTTTTTCTGACAGAAAACAAAGGCGATGGTGAAAACGCCGATTGGAAGTGATAATTTTAGAATTATCCCACCCAATTATACGGTTAGTTAGGCATGTGTGCTCCGATAAAGCTGAAGTTTCCTTTTTGGAAAGGAAAGTCGCTTTTTGATGCTCTTTCAAACGTGTACCAAACTGACGTTTGGTCTGTCCGATGTATTCGTTGTATCGTAAGAACGATTAACTAGGTGTTTAATTTGTTTGTCTAAGGCATGAAATTTCTACTAAAAATAATGTGAACTGAAAGTCTCTGACAGTGTTTGAGGCAACTGAGCTTGACTGTTCCAAAATTTTCTAACAAAGGCAACTGGTAATGTAGATTAGGGAAGTAACTTATTTTCATAACTAACAAAGTTCTTTAAGTGTAGGTAACAATGTAATTATTGTTACACATGTGTAAGTTGTGTACCAAGGAACAGCTGATGAATGTTGGATGATTTTGGCACATCTGTGAACATGAGATATTTTGCATCACAATAAAAAACTTTTATGATCATGGAATCCAAGAGATACACAGTGGTTGATATGAGATGGTATGTTTTTCTTTTTGTTTTGTAAACAGATGTTTATCATCTTCCTCTCAGTTGTGTTACTAATCACAACAGCGATTCAGCTGCGATTATTTCCTTCACTACCAACGCTTGAACAAATACAAGTACAAGGTAAGAGTGCAAGGACTCATAGAGTCATACACAAATTATTACTTGAATTTTATTGATAAACTTCTACCTGATAAGTTTGAGTATTCTCATTACCTGCTTGCTGGAAAATGTGTGGATATTATAGGGACAAGTGACATGTCAATGTGCTTTAATGGCCTTTGGCTGCTGCTATTTGTTACTAACATGGTCAGGGACACAAAGTTAGTCATTCTTTTAGTCGACAAAATGCCCACCAGAGTAGCTCCTAACTGTTTAACCCTTAGCTCTCAGAAGTGATTTACAAGTAAGTTCTCCCTGTACCATCCATACAGTATCCAGCAAACAGGTAACAAGAATACTCAAGGCCTTAAAATTGCAGGAGTTAAAAGGTTGAACGTATCTCCCAGATTGGGTAAAGAGAGGTTTGAGACTTTGTTACTTCACAGTTGATTGGCAAGAATGCTAACTGGGGGAAGGGTCAGTCGTTACCATCAGAGGTTAAAGTGGGGTAGTTTAGTAAGTCCTACCCCCGTTGTTTCCAAAAGACGCCAGCAAATATGTGACAATCGTCAGAAACCCGGTCGAACAGTTTGAGTCGATTTTTAACTACACGCAAATCGGAACTGTATTCGGTTTTGGGACAGATCCATCTGAATCATTGAATGCCTTTCTAAAGAATGGAATAGGATTTAATATGCTCAGAAAAAGCGGAAGTTCTGTTTTAGCCAGAAATCCGCAAATGTTTGAGCTAGGTTTGGATTCCAAGTCCAATTCCAAAGCCATTAAAGAGTACGTTGAATTCTTGGAAGAAGAGTTTGATTTGGTTTTAATCGCAGACTATTTTGACGATTCTGTGGTTCTTATGAAGAGATTACTATGCTGGGAATTGGACGATGTACTTTTTGTAAAAACAAACGAACGGCTTGACAAGGAAAAAGCTACTGACATATCAGATGATACGTAAGAGAACATCAAACGGTGGAAGAAAGCCGACGTGTTGCTGTACGAACACTTTAACCAACTCTTTAGAAAAGAATCGAAAGGGAAGGAAAAGACTTTTACGACGATCTTACGAACTTACGTGGAATGAAACAGGAACTTAAAGGTAAATGTTTTGAAGACAAGCCAAGTAAGCAGTTAATGTATGGCAACAAGTATGCGAAAGGTTTCACTTTAATGTCGGATTTGTCTTCTGATCTAATACAAAAATGTGAAAGAATGACAAGAACTGAAGATAACTATCTGGTATATTTAAGGAACAAGCGAGTAGCAAAGTTAGTTGGTATTCAACGCGCAACATTAAATGAGGATGATCAAGAAAAAGTTAGTTGGGACGCAACGAGCGATTATAAATATGTTCCTGTACAAAGTAGCCAAGAGACTTTCAATGCAAGTATATATATATTTGCATATTTCGCATATATTTTTGCATATTGCAAGTATATATATTTTGCATATTTCGTGGTGAAATTAAATTATCTCTATGGATATTTAGAAAACCCGAGAACACATAGGGAGTGTTTGTGTGGGTCGGATGTCAAAACATTTCAAAACAGAAATTCAAATTAAATGACAAAAAGACGTACTTGAATGAGCTGTAAGTTCGAAAAACTCTCAACTTTTTCCTTTTCCCTATTTTTTTTTTCTCATACTGGTAGCGAAGGACATTACCGATTAATATGAACGTCTCAATTTTCTTTCTTTGCAAGACAGAGATATATTCCGCTTTAGAAATTTTGTACGGGAAATTGGCGGCCGGTCAAACGTAATCCCATCGCGCATGTCCTACGCTTGACCGCTGTGTTCAGGCTGATCCAAATTACTACGAGATTGTAAACAGATTCATGTAACAGTAAGGTAAGTTTACCTCTTACTCTAAGTGTCTGTATTTCCCTATTTTCATAACATTTTTGACCTCCAAACATCCATTTCCGGTCAGCTAAAAATTGCGTAACGAGGAATTTCTACACTAGCGACTGCAACGAGCAAACAAATCTCATTAGTATAGACAGCGCTTTGTCATTCGAGTAACAACAATGGCTTTGTCACAAAAAATAACAAACAAGTTCATAAATCAAATAGCATAAAGTTGGCTAAAAGAAAATGTAAATACACAGAATTGAAGTGTTTAAGATCTTTATGTACAGATGAAGTTTCCCTTGTCTTGTCCGGAGGAATAATTTTCTCACGGTTTGAAAACTATATTTACTGTCATGTAACACTGAAAATCCCCAAATCAGTAAAGGTGTTTGATCCATCCTTCTTAACTTTCACACTTGCTTTCAATCCTAACGGCTCGTTTACTTTTGAGAGGTATTTGTTGACAGAAGTCAAAAAACTAAACGTCTTTGGGAATAATTCCAGCCCAATGGGCAAAGTCTTGGAAAATATCCTTTGATCCATTGAGCCTGTTAGTTCAAATTTATAAGTTCGATTTGTGCAAACATTTGCAACTTCTAACCCAAATGAAAACGTCCCATGATTCCGTCGCAAGAATAACAAACAGTTTGAATCCAAGTCTCTCACAATTGTGTCCGAACCAAACATTTCGCGAGGAACTCCATTGTCAAACAACACTTCTTTCATCTCGGCGTCTGCGGTTTGCTCTTTGGAGCATGCGCAGAGCTTAATATCCACGGACTTATCTGCACACAAGGCAAACTTGTTATACATTGTTACCCGGACAGAACTGAGAAAAAATACTCCTTGTTGTGGTTTGGCAAACTGTTTGACAGAGACTCGATAAACTTCATCCTCTGTGAATCCGGCCGGAGGGATCACGTGAATGTCCATCGTGGTCAAGATGTATTCTCCACGGAATCGTTTGAAAACCTTCTCAAATGATTTTCCAACCAAGCGCTGGCAGTTTCCATAGCCATAGTTATTCTTTGAATCACCATTTCCTGACGAAAATGAGTGAAAAATAAATAAAAAGGAAATTAAATGGACTTCGTTTCTTAGAGTCAGGAGTATCATCTCACAGCAGTTCCCCATAGGGTTAGGGTTAAGGTCTGGTTCATCTTACCCCAACACACCTCAAATGATCTTTCCTTACCTCAGGTCAGCTCATTTCAGTCACTTCAAACCACGACAGCTTTAATAATATTTCCTCACCTCTCCTCACTACTTGTCACTTCAACCCAACACACCTCACCTAATCTTTCCTCACTCATCTTCACCACATTACATCTCGCCTCAAATAACTTCACCTTGTTTTTGTTTCAGAAGCCTAACCTGACTCCATTTTATCTTATGCATCTTCTCTCTATCAACCCACCTTATCACATCTACCCTGTTCCACCCTCATCTCAACTACAGTGTGTAACAGTACCCACCCTACCAGTCCTACTGTACCAAACCTCATCCCAACCAGTATAATCAAACCCTGCCTAACCCACAGAACTCATCTCTTTTATTCCCTCACCTAACTTTCCCTCACCCCACCCTGCCTCAACTCACCCTAGCTTTCTACAATTTGATCAAAACTTCATTGGGCTTTTGTTTCATTAGCAGTACTTTACTTTCACTGCCAATTAAAAGCAGAATTAACAGAGAACAAATAACACTGCACATCTTACCACTCATGTGTTGTTTTTGAATAGCATCATTGATATGTCCCAGAGCAAATTCTGCTAACCACATCTGATCGTCTGCATTATCCTTTAAAGGAATTTCTTCATCAAAACCTTCACATTTGCATCTTGTCAAGGGAAGCATGTACAAGTCTGCACAAGTGCGGTTGGCCGAAATCTCTGAAAATATCCCTGAAACTGAATAATCCCTAGAGTCCTTCTCTTGAGAATCATGCAAACTCATGAGTGCTTCGTGAACATCATACAACATAAAGATGCGCTTTTGGTTTGTTACCAAAGCTTCCATCCTTTCTGGACCCAGTTTCTCTTTAACACCATCAGGGACAATCATGAAGAAGGCTGGATCAAATAACTCTCTCCTTCCCTCTTCAGTGTAACTGAATGGAGTCATTTTGTGACCATGGTCTGAAAAAATCACGGTCAAAGTGTTTGGAAACAAGGCCATATCTGTGAAAAACTTTGCCATGCTGGCATCCATGTTGATCATTCGTTTCCCTGTCATCTCATGTCCCGTGTTGAAATGCATGTATGAGACCAATGGTTTGGCTTTTCTGTTGTTTTCTAAGGCAGTATACACCTTTCTTATGTAGTCAAAGAAGTACCAACTGTAAAACTGCCCATTAAGACAAATTTTCTGAGGATTGTCATAGTGATTGGTCCTTCCAATTCTGTTCAACACCGTGCAGGAAAAATGTGTAATCCCAAAATGGTCAACCATTTTCTTTGCCATCTTTTCCTGAAATTCTTTCCACCTGATTTGAAATAGTTAACACTAATTACCACTCTGACCAATAATAGTGCATTAGCGACAAAAAATGTTAAGTTAAAGTTAACTCTTTAACTCCCAGAGGTGATTAACATGTAAGTTCTCCCTATTATATTTACGCACTATCCAGCAAACAGGTAATGAGAATATTCAAATATATCAGGTAGAGGTTGTTATCTCTATCTAACACCAAATTCTTGTAACTTAAAGGAAATGTGTAGCAGCAAGAGGGGAGAATTAGCAATCAGATTTTGGGAGTTAAGGGGTCAATATCCAATTATTCACCTATTCTTATCTAATTGACATTGTTGTGAATATTTTGCAGACCAGAATTCCTTATTCATTACATGTTATACTTATAAAGCAGTTCTTGTTCATTGCTCATCATATCTACTCATGATGGAAAGATGTCTTACTGGAAACTTTGGTTAACTGGGATGTGGATGGTATGATTTTTACTCTCGTAGTGCTTTTCTCCTCCCTATAATTTCAATACCTTGAGCAAGAAACTGTCAGGAAACCAGCTGGGGTTTACCTATAATGGACTAGTGGCCCATCTGTATGAAGAAGCAATAGTCCTTGACGCTTCATGATAACAATATGGGGATCAGCTTCTGCGGTTTGGGGCCACTTGGCTGGTGAAACTGGACCTTTCTTTCTTTTTTGAAAGAGAGAAGAATGCCCTTATTGACTCCAAACAAATTAATAACTATGATTCTACACGTTACTCACCTCTCTCTAAATTCAGAATTTGTTTTAGGAATTTTTCTCCTTTCATTATCTGTTAATGCACTTCCCCATATATCATACCAGCAAAGGTCCTCTTGAAAGAGTGTCTGATAGCCCCACTTTTTTACAGCCCCATATAGCACTTCCACACCCAAAGGAGCATTTTTATTGCTTGCAGAGACACTGACTTCATTGTCATCTGATAAATTTACCAAAAAAAGATTAATCTTGGTATTAATATTGGTAGCAACAGCAGCAGTAGCACTAGCAGTAGCAGCAGTAGTGGCAATCCTAATAATTTACCTGTGGTCGACTTTAATCAGGTTTAAGACAAGTAAGAAACCGAGTATAATTTTCAATAGCACTGGTCATGTGGTTTATAAGTCTGGGTAAGAGTGGTTCTGAAAAAGGACTGTTGTTGATAGCAGGGAGTTGAAAATATTTTGAGAACCTGAGCAGACATAATCATTGAGTCATCTGACTTTGATGATAACTTCTACTAAGGTTGTTGAAATAGTAGCTTTGAGCAACAGTTGATTCTTTTCAAGACTTCTACCTTTCATCAGATGATCAGAACTCATGATCCACAACTAATGTTAGTCCAGAATATTTAAATTTAATGGCTACTTATGTTGACAAACTCCTTTTAATTGGCCCTTACTACTCGAACCTTTTTCACTTATGGCAAACTTTTTCACCAAGCAAACTGTAAACAAGCAATCACTAATAAATTATAAACAGTGAAAAATTTTGCAAACACACCTTTCAGAACACCGCTGAAGAATGGTCTCAAGTTTTCAAAAGTCTGTTGACCAATGCTTTGAACAAGTTCAAAGTCCAAATATGTGGACTTGATTTTAGGATCTTCACTAATCTTCTTCAAAGCTTCTGTGGCTTTTCGCATAGTTCGATAGAAGTGTGGTCTTGAGATAGAGTCCAACATAATAATATTTACATTTATAGCACTTCTGCCTTCAGCATTTTCATTTTCCTTAAAGATGGGAGGAAAACTCAAGGCTTGATAAATGTTCCCACATTTAAGGAACAAGAAATTAAATCCATTTTCCAGGTTTGTTTTCACTGCCTCCTGTACTTTATAAGTAACTTTTTCCTTTGGCAATGTTTCCCAGTCATCAACAGCTTTTCCCATTTGTGGATTCACAGAAGCCATTTGAATCTCTGAAGACCCACACAATTTCACATCACAAGACACATGATGTTCCATTAACTTGGTTAACTGGTATGAACAGATCTCTGGGTGATGTGTATCGTCACACTTTGGCTCCTCCAACTGTCCTAGACGTCCATAAAATTTAAGAATTTGTTCTTGGCCACTTTTGTCTGGCCTAAAAAAGAATTAATTTTCAGGTGAGGTTGTGCTGTAAACCACTGTCTTCAAATTTATTACCATACCTTTCTAAGAAAACAACACTTTTCCTGAGGAACAAATCCTTACACTCTCACTTAACAAGGAAGCAAAAGTTATAAGATAATTAACCTTGTCCTTGGGTAACGTTTCCAAGTCAGTAGCAACTTTTTCATGTGACACTGAGGGTCACATAACGAGGTCTGTCTCCAGACTCTGGTTAATGTGTTCACACAGCTTGATGGCTGGATATATAATTAAGCCTTAACACTGAAGTAAAGCATTAATTATGCCTCTTTCTACCTGTGAGGCTTGCACTTGATTCCATTTTCTTCCATACCAGATAAGTTTTCATGGCTGGGAAAGGTTTCTGCAACACAAATTTAACATCAATCTATTGGTTCTGAAGATTGAAAATTTATTTGCAAAGGCTTTTATGGTTTTCACATTCACTAGAACTTCTGTTTTAACCCTTTGTACCCCTAGGAGTGACTAACACCTAATTTCTCCTTACAACATCACCCATGAATCACAGATTAAGGTCACAAGAATAAAGGGAATGATCACCAACTAAAGAAGCTCTTGATTGTTAAACAAATTCTTCTTGTCAGCATCTTAGGAAATGTACAGCGAACAGCATGGAGAACATGCTCACTGGTGTTAGGGTGTAAAGGTTGTAAGTAAAGTTTTTGTAAGACCTGACTTCAATAACACCCTATGCACAAAATTTGTGGATTTAGCCTGTGGGTTTGCCTGCCCTATTGCATAACTCACTATGGAGCAACACGTGAAACCAAAAAAGAGAGGCACCAAAAATGGAACTTCTTTTTTTATTTCCCTATTCTGACAAATAATTAAAACTGCAGTGTTCTCCTGCTTTCAGAAGGATTGCAGTCTTAACCAAAGACATTTTTTTACCTGAAAGATGTCTCTTAGTAGGATTCATCTTCAACCACTGCACAATCAAAAGTACCCACAGAGCTAACACAAGAAAGGCAAGCTAGGTGGAGAATGGAAATGGCAAATATCAAAATTAATCCACCAGAGACTAAATGGAAAGGTCTTCAGGAAGTTTTAAGCAATTGTAAGTTTCCTGAGGTTATGGATTGTGATAGTCGAGATTAGAGTATATACAGTTATTTCCTCCAAAATGTTTTTCTCAATGGTAAAGGATAGTGTTGACTGCATGCTGGTGTCTTCGTGTCCAAGACTTCTCAGTTTGATGGATTACTATAGTTGCTTCCTCACTTACGGAGGCTCTCCTATCCTTGAGTATAAACCATAAACACTAACTTTTACATGTATCTTTTCTAGATGCCTGTGAATGTTTAAAATCTTCTAAATATTGTTCATAAACCTTTTTACAAAGAGGGTCAGGTAGCCCTGGTTCCTATCCTAAATGCCTATATTATCAACATAATTGAATAAAATGAAAAAAATTCAAGAAAAATTCACTCACCAGACACACTCGACATCTTAATAAACGAGTTCTAACCAGTTTGGAAAGGATCATAATGGTGTTTATAACCTAAGAGAGAGTCTGAAATGAAACCAGAAAGATTTAATGGTAGTATTTTTTGAGCCTCCTGAGAAACTACCAGCTAGAGGTACAAGACAGTAGAAACTTCATCTTGGGATCTTTCTAACCAGAAGCACTATGACAAGGGGCAGTATAGTGGCAATACTATTCTTAAGTTTTGTTTACCTTTACAAGTGCAGGTCTTAGTGGCTACAGTGTTAAGCTAAAACTCTGCTGAACAAGAAACTTAAGATCGACAAGGATGAAGGAAACAGTCACATAATATTTAGAAAAACTTCCTTGATTTAAACTCAACAATGTATTATTCACATGTAAAGCATATTATAATGTTCATGTCTGGTTCAATCACATCACTTCACTGTTGGTATTACTGATAATCACCCGACTTAGAAACTTGTCACTAGTGCTCCTCCGGCATATTTCTAGCTGGTAGGATTTAGGCACAACCCTGGCATATTGAATGCACGAGGTAGTATCAGTCCTCCAATTATAGATGTATATGCTGCAAAATTCATAATAAAAAGCAAGCAAGGCAGATGAAGACCAACATTCTAAAAAACTGTTAGGCATTCTCCTGGCATTTATAATACGATTCACCAGAAAGTAACAAGAAATAATGATCTGCTTTATTAACTTGCTATCAGAATGTAAATTGCTAAAAGATCTTTTTACTTCCACGCTTATATTGTTTTCAATAATTTTTCAAGATGATGATATATAGTATAAACATTAATTTAAAGTATAAAATTTTAATATTAACATGTGTTAATATCAATTTTAAGCATATTTTATATAGCATCAATATTGTCTACCTTTTAAAAACTCAATTGAAGCAACTTTTATATAACAATAATTTTATGAAACTTTTATACCGACTTAAATGTAACTGAGCTCAGGGCTTCTATTGATAGCAGGTTGATTTTCAAGCACCTAAAAGTACCAAAAGCTGAAAATTTTTTGTAGGTGTCTGTCCATACTCGATGTTATGACAAAAGCATTCACAAGAGAACGTCGCCGAATGACTTTAAAACGGCTCACTGCTGGAATAAAGAGCTCATTCCGGGAACTGAAATAAAATGATTTTTTACATCATAATTAAACGGTGGAAACAATTCGAAATTACTAATTTGTTTCCGCAACGCGCTTTTGGAAACCATAGAAATTACAGCATAGGTTTCGATAACAAATTTAATGTGTTGAAGGGTTTTAAGGCTTCTTCTTCTTCTTCAATTATTGCGTATGATTCAATTCAAATTATTATGTCGTTTCGTAACATACTAAATGCGTGTAATGTCGCTGCATGTGTCTCACAATTTTAATCCAGGCATGACTTTGTTCGCCTTCCCAGTTGCCATCCAAGACGATTGGAAACAAGCAAGTATTAACGATAAAGTTGCCAGTAATCGGATACTTATGTTTGCGCACAGATCTCTGAGACGCGGAGCAAACATTGCAACATGTATGGCGAAAGGTTGTTCCGTCCAAAAAACGATTTTAGAGAGAGATTATTGCTTGTTCGCCGCTCTTTTATCAGAACTGGATTTGGGTAATGCTGATACAAGGGAAGCGTAAGTTTTTGTGTGAAAAACCATGAAATATGTAGTAAAATCTACCGATTAACTTGTCTCCATGCGCAAGGTTTTGTAAATTTAACATCGAGTAATGGTCTCCAAGTTTAGAAAAACTAACCATAAATCGCCAAGGAATAACTCAACAAAGCCTTTTCAGTTTTTCGGACGTGTGTAGGAGGCACGTAGGAGATTGAAACAGCCTGCTTGAATAATATAAATAATAATAAAGTGATGGAATACCTACACTGCTTCTTTGTTGTGAAAAATGAGAACGAGTCAGCGTTGATAGTCGGCTCAAAATTTACCCCCTTTCTTCGGTGACGATGAATGATACAATTTGGATGCACAGCTGATAATATGTCCACAATTTCTGCGAAACAATGACTACAGCGTCATACCAAAACAAAAATGCCACAATCGAACGAACAAACAAGAGGGTAATAAGAACTCGAGAATAATTTTGTTACCGCAATGCACTCTTGGAAACCATGAAACAGTTCGATTAAAGTCCTTTAGTAACTTACCAAGGTCTCTGATGTTGCTTTATCTCACAATTTTGATTCCCCTAGAGGGGAAATTCATAATCCACAAACGAATCGCAAAGGCTAGGCCACAAACCCCTCCTACGTTTTTGCGGAAGAGAAATTTGCTGCGTTAAATTCTTCTTCTTGGAATCAACTCTTTACACGATGCATAGCATCACCTGATGTATTTGAATCATATTGACAAACACCTCACGGGTTGAATATTACATCTTGAAAGCGAGGCCAAGAGTACAAGAGCAGATGGAATTGGATGAGCATGCTCAGTCATTTTACTTCTAAGTGTATTCTGTGCCTGGATTTCCTATCGACCCAAGGCCCCAAAACCTCGGAAAATTAGGGCAATTGTCGGAGAAAAGAATACCATTAAGTAGTCATTGCTTGCTTAAACCTTTCATTGTTTTGATTTTTCGCTATTCTAAGCTTTCAAAAAATTAACATGTTTATACATACCCAACCAAGCATGTATGCGGCACGTGTTATATCGCCCCATACATGGCACTGTTCCACGTGCTTACAACGGAACGCTGAGTGTGTTTCCTTCGAATAAGCCGAGAGTTGTGAGTGGGAGTTAACCGAAGCGTTGTAATAAAATCGTCAAATCAAGTGAATAAATTGTGATTAAATAAGGGAGCGTGCTACAGCTTTTTCACGTTTTCGACAGTCAGGCTAATCTACAGACTTCTATAGCTTGTATTTTTTGTTTACCCATTTTGAGTCCTGTGATAATACTCTAGAGAACTGTTTCTCTCAAATTTCGTCGCGTCTCCAAGATTCAGACGCAAATTACCACCACGCCCTCAGTGCCTTTGAGAGCTAAATAATTTATTGAATAGGCAGTCACAATTGGAATCATTTCAAACAAGATTATTATCCTTCAACCATTTGATTAAATACTGAAGATCTTAATAAGTGTAAAAATTCTAAATATCCAGAGTTAGATGTAAGAGACTACATGTAAAACAAATTAAGTGATAACAGTTTCCTCGAGCATAAAACATATCATCTCTTTGCCTGTCTTAATTAGTAATGGCCAGTCAAAAAAGGTACCTGAGGTTAAAACTGACTGAAGAAAAAAAAATGAGGAAAATGCTGAGCCAAAGTTATTTGGCGAGGTACAGTTATAGTTCAATAAAGTTATACTTTATCACGGCGATCTATTAAGCTAAATGGTAAGAGCCAAGCTGTACCTTGAGAGCGTTTAGTCCTTTTGGAACGTGTTGTAAACTAGTATCCTTATCACACAATGATGGTGAAGCAGCGGATGCGCTGGCGATACAGGTGTTTCGCCTGCTATTAAACAACTACAAGCCGAAAACACGAAGAAAGGTCTCTCAAATTATCGAATAATTTTTTAACTTCAACACTTTAAACTTTTGGACTTAATTTTCGAGTTTACGCTATATTTGCCTTTTTAGCCAAAAATAGGGTCGGAAAGTAATGAGTAACTCACCAAGTTAATTATTCACATTCATTTAACTGACAACTAACAAATGGCCTAAAATCTAACTGAGAACTGATAAATGGCCGACATTTTAACTGACAACTGACATTTGTACCCCCTCATCCAGACCCTCCGTAAAATAGCTAACACTTTTCAAGCTTGACTGAAAATTTGTCGCGCCACTTACTAAAGTTACCTCGCTAAAACATAATAGAAAAAAGAAGAAACACTCCTGCTATTAACATACGGTAAGATTTTACGCTAGTAATTAACGACGTAATTTTATTCAGTCGGTAAAGTATAAATGTAAGATTTTACGCCTGTAACTAACGGCGTCATTTCTTCCAGTCAGTGGTGTATATATGTAAGATTTTACGCTGGTAACTAACGGCGTTAATTCTTCCAGTTGGTATATATTCATACTGCGAGGTTTTACACCGTTAGTTAACGGTTTAAAATCTGACAGTATGTGCACCGACGCAGGTAGTGGCGTAAAATCGTACAGTCTGTAGACTGTGTTAGTCACACATTTCGCCGTTATCTAACTAACGCACTGTGCGTAGTTCATGACCTGATATTTGAACGAAAATTATCGACTTTGTTTACTTTTAAGTCACGCAAGCGCGCAAGTGTGACGACCGATCACGTTTACGTAACGTTTTAGGACAACTCGGCATCTATTCTCCATTCAGTTGTTACGAAAACCTAAAGTCGTCAACGTAGAAGATAAGCAAACGAAGTTAGAACGGTCAAAGAGAGATCTTGGTCAATTTTCAGAATTATGCAAATGACTTTGACACGAGCGCAAGTGAGCATACTCGTGGACTTGCGTTGCTGTTAAGATGTTGGTGGATGAAAGTTAGAGATATACCCGCGGGTTTGAGGCAATCGACGACCTCCTTGGTGCATAAGCTATGCACTGATATGCTTTTTTTAGCCCAATTAACGCTTGAATTTTGAGAATTCTTTCGTGCAAATTAGTGAATTTTTTCTATGCAAATTAAGGTCGAAGAGAAGGGTCTCCTCTGATTACGCTGGTATCAAAAATACTTCAGGTGAAGTTTCCATATTTTGTCAGTGAAATAACTGAATACATCTTGTAACTTCTAGCAAGATAGAATTCCGTGAGCCATATTATTGCAGTCGCTGCGTGCTGGACAAAATCTGTGAAATTTACTCTTTCGATCGCTGTCCACGAGGGTTGTCTAGCCAAAAATTATTCTTGGCTTATGGCGACGCCAAAAAAGAGAGAGTTGGAGAACAACTAAACTATTTTTGAAACATGTGTCCTAACTCCTTTTCGTGGGCAAAAAATTAAATTAACCTTATTTCCGACGGTGGCCGGAAGTTGAGAAGACCGCTCTCAACGAGAGTGGCACTTAAGGGCACTTAATTCAACAGAACTGGTTCAAAGTCAGTGCGTCTTGTCATACATAAACTTTTAGTTCTTGAAAAGCGAAATCTAAGCATACTTCGTTTTTGCAGCCCGGTTGGAACAAGTTGGGAGTTATTTCGATCAGCCTTGCTCCAAATAAAGTTCAGTTATTCAAACGTTGACGACAATATGTCTAAGTACAAACCAGTAGTGTCTTACCTTTCTATATAGTTAAAAAAATCTAGAACTGCAGATCTGTGCTTGTTTGTTCCTTGTAATTATTTCTTTCTGCGAGTTTACATACAATAAATAAGTTATTCTCTGTCAAGGCACACGAAGTGACCTAGTATGAAGATGAACCCACACACCAATTCTAAGAAAATGCTGTTTGAACGCAGGAATTCGCCAAAGGCAATTTCGGGAGCCCTGTCTGGTGGTTTCTGCTTGAGACAAAGCAAGAGAATATTAAAATTATAATTGTATTATTTCACTCAGATAACGTGACATCTATTAAGCGCATTGCTTCACATTGTCTGTTTGCAAATCTGCAAATAACTATTCAACCGAGTAGATTGTGCGCCTATGAACGCAGCAATTATTCAAAGGCAATGTCGGAAGCCTTTTTCTGGTGGTTTCTGCTTGGGAGAAGGCAAGAGAATATTAACATTACAATTGTCCTCTTTCACTAAGATTTCACATTTATTAAGTGCAATCTACAAGTGGATTTTGCGCCTTTGAATGCAGAAATTCGCCAAAGGCAATGACGGAAGCCTTTTCTGGTGGTTTCTACTTGGGAGAAAGCAAGAGAATATCAACATTACAATTTTATTCTTTCACTCAGATGTATTAAATGTATTGCTTCACCGCTTGTTCATCCCCAAATCCTCCTCAATTTCTTATTATCCGTCCTTAGATTCAGTCAACACAAAGAGACGTTCATTGGAGTAAATTTTTTTAAGCGTTTGGGTATTCATCAGGAGTAAGAACTTGAGGCGACTTAAGGCTGCTGAAGGTACCAGAGTAGGCCTTCTCTATACAAATCCAAAATAAATTAATACATCATTCTGAATAAACCACGAACTACGCAACACCCTTGTATCTGTCATGACACACTAAAGATCCCTAAATTGTTGAAAGTGTTTGATCCATCCTTCTTAACCTTCACACTTGCTTGCTGATATGTACTTATACACAGATGTCAAAAAATGAAATGACTTTGGGAGTAGCTCTCGTCTGATAGGCAAAGTCCTAAAGAATATCCTTTGATCCATAGAGCCTGTTAGTTCAAATTTATAAGTTCGACTTGTGCAAACATTTGCAACTTCTAACCCAAATGAAAAGGTCCCAAAATTCCGTTGCAAGAATAACAGACAGTTTGAATCCAAGTCTTTCACAATTGCGTCCGAACCAAACATTTTGCGTGGAACTCCATTGCCAAACAACACTTCTTTCTAGGGTCATCAGCGTTTTGCTCTACGGTGCATGCACAGAGCTTGATATCCACGAACGTATCTGCACATGAGGCAAACTTGTTGTACATCGTTTGCCGGATAGAACTAAGGAAAAATACTCCTTGCTTTGGTTTGGCAAACTGTTTCACAGAGACTCGATAAACTTCATCATCTGTGAATCCGGCTGGAGGGAACACGTGAATGTCCATCGTGGTCAAGATGTATTCTCCTCGAAATCGTTTGACAACTTTTTCAAATGGTTTTCCAACCAAGCGCTGACAGTTTCCATAGCCATAATTTGAGTCACCACTTCCTGACGAGAGTGAAAAATAAATGAAAATCAAACCAAATTGCAATTTGTTTCTTGAATCAGGCATTTTAACTCACTACAATTCCCTATACCCCTTCTCGGTTCACCTTATTACATCTCAGATAACCTCACCTCAGCTCACTTCAACCACTCTCACCTCACCTACTTTTTACTCAAATAACTTCACATCATTCAATCTAACTACGGCTCTCGTCCGGTTATTACATTGATCTTCCACCCATCTTAGCTATTCCAATCTTACCTCACCCAACCTAACCTCACTTTATTTGACCAAACTTCAGCCAGTCTAACTCCATCACATCTCACTAACCAACCTCAACCTTACCTCCCCACCCTCATCTTAACTAATCGTACCCACCCTACCAGTCTAACGACACCAAACCCCACCCCAACACAACTATCTTAACACACAGCCCCACTCTCTCCATTCCTTCATTACACCCCACCCATCTCTTTCATTTCCTTCAATTGGATCAAAATGCATTGTAGCTTGACTGACAATTTGTTTCAGCAGCAGCATGTTACTTTCATAACCCATTAGCTGCAGAGAAAAGAGAAAAAACAATTACACAACACATCTTACTGTCCATGTGTTGCTT